TCTGTAGTAAATTTCAGAGCTTATTTTTCTTTAAAAAAAAAAAATTCTACATCTTTGCCAGTCCAAATCGGCGACAGTGTAAAGCAAAGTGGAACGTTCCGTAATTTTTTTTTTAATTTTTGAAATTTACTTTTTTAGAAAAAGCCTGTCATGCAAAGTTGATTTAGTGTAGTGCAAAGCTTTACGTGCCGTACTCCATAGGTTCGCTACGAATAGCTGCCGCCACTGACAACGCACAGTGGCGCGCCATCTTGTTAACCAAGCGCAGATCCATACATGGCAAGCTATGCTCTGCAGCGTTTTCAAGCAGCTGCATCCGGCGCTCTGTTTTCTCTCCGTGTGGAGCAAGAAACATTTCGTCATGACTTAAGGCAAGATAAGCCTTAATGCGTGCTTTTAATACACTAAAACACCCTGCCGCACAGTAAAATAGACAAAAAAGCTAGTACATGTGCACGCTATAATTGTCTGTAAAACGTACCCTCAATCGGGTTACACATGGGGGAGTATGGCGCCAACCGCAACAGCTCCAAGTCCTCCTGCTCAGTAATCAGATCCTCAGTCTGGCTATGAGCAGGAGCGTTGTCTAAGACAATGACAACCGTCTTGCCAGCTAAGGGGTCGCGGTACACGTCGTGGCGCTTGACCGCCTCGTACACCGCGTCCCCAAACGCAGCATTGACCTCCATTTTAATGCTGCCTCTCTGTTTAGCGTAATGCACCAGGCCCACCTCAGGTGACACGGCGCATTGCAGCTGCAGGTTCGCTCCTTTGGAGGGCGGGAGTTTGACAACAGCACGCTGGCCAATTGGAGCTCGGTCCTGTGTACGTTTGCAATACAAATTAAAATTTGTTTCATCGTAATACACAATGAAAGACCCCTTGCGCTCATGAGCCAGCAATGCTTCACCAAACTCCCTCCTCTTTTCGATATTCACATCGTTGTTACATGTTTCTGGCTCAGCTCGAGCCTATGCAATAAACACTAGCCATTAGTACAATACAAATAAAATATAAATTAAAATAGAGCTTATTACCTGTTTCACAGTATACAACTTGTCACACGATTTCTTACTAATTGTGGAGGTGCTGACACGAACTCCAAAGTCGTAGTGCAGCATCTCCTGCATCTGCACGAGCGTGTATTGGCAGTTATCCTCCAGGTATTCTACGAGGGCCTCCTCCATCTCCGGCGTGCACTTAGTGCATGTCGCCCGCGCGCCGCCTCTCTTCTTGATGTCCGGGGTTCCTCGCTCGACGATAGTCCGAGCCGTTGTAGCTGGAATTCCGTTGCAATCGGCTACTAAGGCCCAGTCCTGCCCAGCCTTGTGTGCGTCGAGAACGCGTGTCCGGGCCGCGAGGCTATGCTTTGGTTCTGTTGGCATGATGCTAGAAGAAGAGGTTTTGATGCCGACCACCAGACTAAATCGCCATTGCTCTAAAGTCAATTTTTGAAAATAAAAATTAAAAATTTCTTTGTCACTTAAGTTACTTCACACCACTTTGCTTTACACTGTCGTTTACACTAAGCTTACCGCGAGTTTGGACTGGCAAAGGTGTAGAAGTGCCATATTTTATGCGATATGAAGGTGTTTGCGACTTCCTGTCTGTATCCTAATAACGTTTTAAGTATCCTAAGTAAAGCTGGAATTGACAATAATTCTCTCACGTTTTAGTTTTCTGCTTTAATTTTTAAACATGAGCCGAGCATCAACAAATAAGCAAAATGCAAAATGTGCACATTCTTTTGAGATGGTTTGACGTGTGGTGCTGCTGCCGATACTTCTGTGGTTAAATATACGAGTAGAAAGCCGTGCCAGCAGCCAGAGGCGAAGGGAAGAGATACGGCACCAACACCAACCCAGTTGTTAATCTTGCCGGGTCAACGTCGACACAATGGGACTCGCACCGCGTTCAGACAGCGAGTCCACCAGGTCGTGCAGTCCACGCCGCTGCACTGGATCCTCCCGCGTCGGCCCATAGGCGTCTGTACCGACGCTACCTTCACCAGCGAGCTGAGATGTCAATGAGGGCGACGCATTCTCGGCGGCGAAGTCGCGGAAGCTCATCGAAGAAGCAGGAAGCATCTCCGGGTCTTGAGTCGCGAACGTATCCAACTCATCAGGCTCCAGCTCGTCAATGTGGAACGCTGACAAGGCGACAGCGTTGTCTGCACGCATCAGATGGCCCGTACTGGACATTGAGCGTTGGCGCGAAGGTCTAGGATGTAGCGAGTTAGGCGGCGCGCTACGGTTCAGCCGGGAGCTCAGCACGTTCGGCGCCGTGTAAGTTCTGGGGAGTTGTCTTGAATACGGAGCCACTAGCTCAGCGCTCGGGTCGTTAATGATACTTGTGCGACTCATATCAAACCCAGTCCTCGCTGTCGAGTTCGGACTCGACAGACGATGGTCGGATGTCCCGTTGGTATGTGGCGACGACATGCGTCCGATTTCTTCCTCCTCTTCGTCTCCAGAGCCAGTGCCAGCCCACTTCCACTTCTTCTTGGCCTTCATCGTCAAGATAGTGCGTCCGATCTTCACGTGCATCGGCTTTCCCCACTCCAACTCCAGCGGCTTGCTCAGAAACAGCATCGTACCGTTCGAACTCGCCGCGTCGTAAAGCACAAAATGGTTCTACCAGACACAAAACAGAAAACACACACACAGATATTAGTCGATACTCGACACTTGACACCATTCAGACACCACTTACATCCTGGAATTTAACCTTGGCGTGGAGTTGCGACACCGTCCGATACCGCAGCGTCATATTGTTCGTCGTCGAGCGGCCAATCGTCAGGAATTGCTGATTCCGCGGCATGCTAGAAAGTTATAACAGATAAGCAAACAGCGGTTAGATATATCTTACCAAGTAAATTACGCTGCACAGCAACTTACTTCGCGAAGCTCAACTGGAAGCGCGTATTGGTCAGCGCCGTCGAGCGGTTCCGCGTCTCGTGCTGCGTGACAACCGCGAACGTGACGTACGGCGGCGCCAGCTTTTTAGCCAATAGCGACACCACTCGACCGTCCTCCAGTCGAACACTCGTCAAGTACGTCGCCTTGCAGATGCTGCACACGTCCAGGCCGTCGGTATTGGTAACAGCGCACACTTTCTGGTTCGGATTGGTCCCATCTGCGTCCAGATTGTTATTCCAGCGTTGCAGACAGTCCAGATGCACGTATTTCGTGTCTCCTTTGCAGTGGCAGGGCGCTACCAGCGGATTGTTATCCGGATCGTCGTCGCCGTCGTAGCAAATGTAGCAGAACCGCTTGCCGGTCGTGCCGGCCACTCCGAGCGGCAAGTTATCGAGTCGCGGATCGACGTGGTCGTCTCCTTGTCCACTCGATCTTCTTGCGGCTTTTCTGTCCTTATCTTCCTCCGATTCGCCTTCGTCGGACGTGTCTCCTCCGACTCGCATGGCCTTATCGTCGTCGTGCTCTCCGCCGTCCTCCATATCGGGCGATCTTTCTGTCGGATGGAACGTTTGCTGCAACGGGAGACTCAGATAATTCTCCTTGAGGAACTCGTACTGTTCATTGGTCAACGATTCCTCCGTTTCCTCGCTGTTCGTACGGTTCAGTTCACACACGACCAGGCCGACGGATCCGATCCGCAAGAGATCGCCCAGTCTCAGACTGTGGCCCGTAACGGGGTATTTCTTGCTGCCCAGTACTCGGCACACTCCTGTGTGGCCCGAGAACCGCTCAATGGACGACCCGCACACGAATTTACCCACGGAATTATCGTATTTCATTGCCAGTGTCGTGGCGCGCGTGTCATTCAGCACACACTCCTTCATCTGTGTGGACGCAGCTCCCCGTTCCTGTTCGTTCTGCTGCTCCATTTCCTGTTCACCTGCCTCGTCCTCTTGGTTATTAGGAGGCGATGGGAAGTCCCGCATGTGCAGCGCCTGGAAACTGGCGGCCAGGTCCCGTTCCAGCGCCGTGTGGAACGGTGCGTCGGTCTGTGTGACGGCGTTCGGGTGGCTGCTCGATGTGGCGTAGAATGGGTACGAACCGCGCTGCGGACCGTGCAGTACAGCACCCTCTTCGTCGACTGTGAACTCGAGCTTAGGCAACGTGCGACGACCGCGCGAGGCGCTTACACGTGCGCCCGAGGCGTCTGTGGTGGCGCGCAGCTCTCCTGGTGTCGTAGTCTCGGCTTTTACCTCTACGCGACGTACACTCTTGAATCCCATGCTCTTGGCGCGCAACATGGTGCTGTGTGGTGGGTTAATTAGGGAGCCGAGGGTCTGGAGATCGAAGAGATCCAGGTGACCTACGCGGGCCAATAGCGCCAGCTGTAGAATACGTAAGCGACTCGCACTTGGATGGGAGTATGCAACGGTGTCTGCTTCTTAGGTAGAATCTCGCGGCGCGTCCTGAGGGGCTCTAAAGAACGAGCTACCACCCCGCGCAGCACAGCGCGTCCCGGGGGCTTTCCTTGCTTTTCGGCTGATCGTCGTTTGTTCTCGTTGCGAGGTATAGGGCGAAAAAAGGGCTTTCTTATTTTTGTGCCGAAGGCTATTTTTCTCAGATTAATTTACCGATCTGCGATTGGAGAGAGCACAAATCGGCGGGCTGCGATTGGAGAAAACGCTGACTTTTGTGTAAGCATGGTGTTTTATGAATTTGCGACCTGGGACGAAACGCTTTGAGGCAACTAACCTGATTTCCCAACAGAATGGACGTAGCAATGTCGTTTATTCAGAGCTTAGGACACAGTCCAAGGCTGCCTTCTAGCAACATGCCTACATGAGAAAAACTTCGGTGTGCAGCATAGTGCGATCTGAGTCACCCGGACTTTAATAAGTGCTTGTACATGTATTAGTACAAGTACATGTATTAGTGTTTTGTGCTTCTACATTGTGGATCGGTTTTATTGCACCGGCTATCCACAACAACAAAAAACACTGTCAATTACCTGTATTAGTTTATTAATACCTCAGAAGTATTTATCGTCTGTTTCGATCTTGAAGCGACGCATTCACTGACACAATGTCGCGCCGTCAAAGTCGAGGCGTCGATCCGGAGCTTTTCGCGCCCAGTGCACAGAGCTCAGCTGGTGACAGATACGCAAAACCTTTACGTTCTGCTGGCGGCAATTTCGATTACCGAGGAGCTTCTCCGTCATCTTCGCACGGCCGCAACCAGCATGAGTACAGTGGCTACACGTCTAGCAATAATCCGGTGCAACAAGAACATTCGAGCTGTTCAGGACTCACGATCGAGCTGGAACATCTCAGCGGGTTTACGGGCAAAGGCAAGAACACGATCCACGCGCATCCTACCGACCCGGACAGCTACATCACGTGGTGCGAATGATACTCTTGAGTTGGGTTCGTCAATGAGGAGAAACTAATCCTTGTGATGATGCTACAGCATGGGTTCAGCTGTGGTGATTGGCAAAATCCATGATTCGCAGAGTCAAGAGCTGCTCTGTGCACACGAAGAAGAGATCAACGTGATGAGTTTGTCCAGTACAGGTACATTTCTAGCCTCAGCACAAGTGCCTCCTCACTCCGGACGGACAGATCGAGGTGGTGCGTTTATCGTGGTCTGGGATCTCACATCAGCACAGGAGCGCTATCGACTCCAGGGCTTCTTCCGTCCAATACTCCAAATGTCATTCTCGCCAGATGATCATTTCCTCGCGGCGTCCTCCGAAGACTGCCGGGTCATTCTCTGGGATATGCGAGTACGTTGTCACTTCCTAGGCGCATAAGTATCATATTACCAAGGCTAACGCTGTGTTTACTGCCTCGAAGACATCCGAGGTGGTGCTTTCTAAACTTTTCCCCACCCCGATAACAATTCTGACCTGGGGTAAAATGGACGAAAAGTGTCGCCGTCCTAGATATTCGCTCGCGTTTGCCCACTCCAGTCAACTCCTGAACGGCGAGTTAGCCTACGACATCGCAGCCATGCAGTATCGTCTTGAAGTCTCCACTTTCTCGATGCCCAACGTGGGGATTGCTCGCACGTATCTCTGCGCTGCAATCACTCAAACCCGCACGGATGTCCTTGCAGGAACCACAGCCGGAGAGCTGGTGGTTTTCAACACAGAGTCACTAGTCTACCGCAACGCCGTGCCAGTCGTTAGAAACGGCGTGCAGAGTGTCGCTGCATGTGGAGACACCGGATACGTGTACGTAGGCGCCGGCGACGGCGTTCTCAAGAAACTTGTAGGCCGTGACTCCGACTGGAACCTCGTAGGGCAAGTTCAACTTGTCGGCGGTATCACCAGCATCTCCATTAGCCCTGGAGGAGCTCAGCTGTTCGCTGGTACCTCAGCAGGTAAAATGTACCACGTGGTTGCCAATACACTTGTGACTTCGGAATTAGCGAGCAGTCATCTGGGGGCAGTCACAAGCTGCGCCTTTGGGGATTCATGTGAAGAGTTCGCGACTATTTCAGTAGACGGCAGTATTCGCGTGTGGGATTTATCCTCCTACCAGCTCAAGTGTATGGCTACCGAGGCAGTAGCGGGACTGTGTATCACTATTGCGAAAAACTCGACACATTCCGGACTGCTAGTCTCCGGTTGGGTCGATGGGTGGCTACGCGCCTACGATGCAGCAAGTGCACAACCCAAATGGCACATTGCAACGGCACATCGTGGAGAGGTGACTGCAGTGGCGTGTAGTGCTCAGTATATTGTGAGTGGAGCTAGTGACGGCGGAGTGAGCATTTGGTCTTTTGCTACTCGAGAATTGGTCCTGCAATTCCATGAACACAAACGAGCAGTCAGCGGCGTCCTCGTCGACGTCAAGTTACCACATCGCGTTCACTCTTGTGGAGTAGACAAAGCTCTGTTCATTTACGACCTCAAAGGAGCTCGGCGTGTTGTGGCACAGCAGGTTCGAGAGGGAGCGTTCCACGGTATCACGCAGAGACTAGACAGCGAGACGGAGATCGTTACTGCGGGCGCTGACGGCCGCCTGCTCTTCTGGGACTGCGACGAGCCGGACCCTGTCCAGTTCATTGTAAGCCCCAGCAGGTCAAAAGTTACATGCGCGCAAGTGTCTCCCTCAGGTCGATTCCTGGCTACATGTGGAGAAGACTGCGAGGTGCAACTCTTCGACGTTGGGTCCTCTGCGCTGCTGGCGTCAACACGCGGACACTCGAACACTGTGAACGCGCTGGCGTGGAGTCCGGACGAGCGACAACTCGTGTCTGTCGGCTCGGACTCGTGCATTTGTATCTGGAATTTCTACCAAGAGTGAAGAGGATCTGGATAGTCTTAACCTAAAGAATCTCTATTGATGTGTCACTTAACTCAATCGTCTTCCGGTGTCTCGAACGTTGGTGGCGCTTTCCGCAGGTTCCCAGTTAAGCGGTCGCGAGTAGCTGTGTCCACCTCAACGTAGCGTAAGAACTGCATGGCGAACGAGGCTTCTCCTTGTGTCTTGGAGCGTAGTAGCGTAGCATAGCCCACCATGTGAGCTAGAGGCACATGAGCGTGCACGATCGAGCGTCCTTGATTGACAATAGAATCGCTGCCATCTCCACCGATAGCAGAGCCCACCTCTTGAATATGTGCACGTCGTTGAGAGCTCAAGTCGGCTAGTACGTCACCCACACAGCGATCGGGAGAGCGCACTTCGAGCTTCATCGTGGGCTCCAAGATAACTGGCTCGGCTTCCTTAAGAGCTTGTTTAAGTGCCAGTGCTGCAGCTGCACGGAAAGAAGCTGCACTCGAGTCCGCATCCCAATCACACTCTGCCTCGTCCACAGTTACCTTCACGTACGCCACACGGTTCGGAGTCAGTACTCCGCGACTCAAAGCCGCTTGAAGACCCTCCTCGATCGCCAGAGCAAAGGCGTGCGGCATCTTCTTGACTCCGTGGTTCTTCCACTGCACCACGTTGCTGTTATTTCCATCCTCTTCGTCGTCTTGGCTGTCTTCTTGATGCTCCAGCAACGGATCCACGTGGACCGTAAGCTTCGCAAAGTGGCGGTCAGTGCCTAACATGACGTCGTGTGTATACGGCAACTCAACAGAGTTGGTGACGCTCTCCAGATAAGCCACACGCATGGCACCGATAGAAGGTTCCAGCTTGTAGTCACTTCGAAGACGCTCCTTGATGATGTCCAGATGCAGCTCGCCCATACCAGACATGAGCGTTTGACCGGTCTCCTCATCCACAGTCACCACGAAGCTCGGGTCTTCCCGTTGCAAGTTCTCCAGTGCTGCGTCCAGATCTTTCTGCTTGGCAGACGACTCGGCTTCAATGGAGCATGTGAAAACAGGCTTAGGGATCTGTACACCAGGCAGAACCATCGGGTGCGCGGCGTCCTTGGCGCTCACGAGTGTATCACCTGTGAACGTGTGCTTCAGTCCCACCGCTGCGCCGATGTGACCGGCTGAAATGAACTCCACGGCTTCCTGGTCGTCAGCAGCTACGTGCATGAGTCTTGTTAGTCTTTCCTTGGTGCAGCCACGAGACGCGTTGATCAGCTGTGACTTGGCGTTCAAAACACCCGAATATACGCGGAAAAACACCACAAGGCCGCGCTGACGGTCGTGTTGGACCTTGAAGGCTAGCGCGCACAGTGGCTCGCTGGCGGATGGCTGTAGCTGCACCACCTTGTTCTCCGCTGCTTGGCCACGAGTCTTCTTGCCACCTACAACTGTGTGCGCTTCGAATGGGGCCAAGTCCAGAGGCGACGGCAAATAATCCACCACCGCGTCCAAAAGCGGCTGCACGCCCTTGTTCTTCAGCGCACTACCACACAGCGTAACCACGACCTGCGACGACATGTCTCGCTGTACTGTGATCCGACGCAACGCCGCCTTGAGCGTCTCGTTATCGATCTCTTCCTCCATTAAGAAGAGTTCTCCCAGCTCATCATCGAAGTTCGACGCTCGCTCAATCAGCGTCTGACGTCCTTCTACGGCCTTTGCATACAGCTCAGCCATCTTGCCACCTGCAGAGGACAGCAACGGTAGTCGTTGAACCTGTTCGCCTTCCTTGTCCGTCCATTTGATCAGCTGCATGTCCACCAGATCCAACAGTCCTTCGAACTCCGCTTCCTCTCCAACTGGCAGCTGGACGCACAGCGTTTGCACGCCAAATCTCGTCTCGATAGACTCACAGGATCGGGCAAAGCTGGCGCCTTCCCGGTCTAGTTTGTTCACGAACGCGATGCGCGGCACCTTGTACCGGTCGGCCTGTTCCCAGACCGTCTCGGTCTGCGCCTCCACGCCGGCTACGCCGTCCAGCACAGCTACAGCGCCGTCTAGAACGCGCACCGCTCGCTCCACTTCAATGGTAAAATCCACGTGGCCCGGCGTATCGATCAGATTGATGTGGTGCTCGCGCCACGGGAAGCTGATGGCCGCCGCGCCAATGGTGATGCCGCGCTCGCGTTCCTGAGGCATAAAGTCCATGGTGGCGTCACCATCGTGCACTTCGCCCATACGGCGGATAGCTCCGGAGTAGAAGAGCATGCGCTCGGTTGTTGTGGTCTTTCCGGCGTCGATATGTGCCAGGATGCCGATGTTGCGGATGGCGGCGACGTGCGCAACATCCTCCTGGCTCGAATTCGGTGCAGTTAGCGACGCCGAGGAGCTCCATCGACGCGCAAAACGCTGGCGCAGATCATGAGCGCTTGAAGATAAGCTAGTCGTACGTCGAGAAGCTGCTAGCAACCCGGTCGCAGCGCGCGCACGAGTGCCAAGCATAATGCAGGACGTGTGGCTCACGTCGCATGTAAATTTGAAAACATTATTATTGTCAAAAATTCAGAATGAAGACTTGACTTTTGTAGCGAAAACAACTTTGGCAATTATTGTGACTTTAAAATCGTTGTTAAAGCTGTACGTTCGACTTCGGTCGTTAATGGTATGGCTACGCAATTCTAGGACGAGCTCATGGCTTTTGCAATAGCGACCTACATGTATCTGTATTGGGTTTTGACCTCACTGATAGCAAGGCAGCGTGTCAACTGGTCCAATTGTGCACGAACCAGGCGTGTAGCTCTTGATGTGTGTGGCCATCTGCGCCGTCGAGAAGCATGGACAGCAGGTCACGGCCATGCAGTCGTTCGCACTGGAGCCGGGAATCTGGTACTGACTGCGAATGCGCTTGCGAAGCACCCATAACGCAGCGGCAAAGGCTGCGTGGGCCACCACTGCGAGAGACAGGAAAGCGGCGTTGACGGCCGGTCGCGCATCCTCGAGGCGGTGGGCGTGATAGTAGTGGTAGCTCACGTCGTGCCCAAGGATCACCACGGAGATGAACTGCTGGATTGTGAGCGTCACAGCGACCACCTCAAAGCTACAGAGCAGCGCGAAAAATAGTAGCGACGTGTAGTACGGCACCATGCCCAGACGACTGGTAATCTGCGCGAGTGATACGCACGGACACAGCGTCGCCATCAAGGCGTTCGGTACGAGGTGGTCAAAGCACGCAAAGAAGTCTGCTGTCCAATACCCCGTCGCGATGCCGAGAACAATGTCGTCGCCAATTTTCGTGTAAGCGTTATCAGCTTCCGGTGTGCAGGGCTCAACCATGTGAGGACCCAGTTTCTCGTCCATTTGGATGGCGAAGGCGACGCGCGGGGTGTCCTTGGGGGTCTCGACGATAATGGGCTCCGACATTGTTACGATCAAGTAGTAGGGTTGATGGCGAAGATGCGAAAAGTAGAATGATTCACTCTTCCGTGTTGGATTCGTTGTCTAGGAGGACAAGCGCTGGAGAAAGCATCGATCATGTGCCACATGATCGATGCTTTCATTCATGTGGCATCCCCAACATCGTATTGGGATGATACAGTACAGTCGTCTTGTGATGGATACGGAATCATCTCATTCGTCTCTTATCTTACTGAGGCCTTTCAACAAGCTCCATCATCCCGTCTCCGGATAGGCGTTTCCGAAGCCCCTTCCGATAATGAAACGTGTTGGCAAGTTTTCGATGTGCAGATTCCGCCATCGTATCTTTTAGAGCTCTTGCTGAGCACTGATTTGTCCGTTTCAATGGGTTTAATTTACGTTTCAAGACGACGAGAACGATAAATGCGAGGAATCTCGTTGGGAAGCGTCTCGTGTACTAATGCGCAAGCGTCATAATCGCAGAAGAAGTTGCAACGGATAGCAGAACACGACAAGAGGTCGATTGTGGTCGCGATGGGCTAAGCGTTTTACGTCCTCGCAACTACTGTACACCGCTCTCTGAGATCCTAAACAAGTTGGCAGTCGTGTCAAGTTCGGCCTGGCAACCAAGTGGGATGGTTGCGGTTGGGCTCGTGTGACCAACGTCCACGCCGTAGAGAATCGGGAAGCTCGTACCCAGGGAACCCGAAAAAATAAAATGCATAAAAAATAATCCTAATTTTTTAATTTAATTATTAAAAACAAATTTTTTATGGCTGTCAACAACGGTAACTTAAGTGAACAGCCCCAATTTTGAGCAAGGTCTAGTCAAGTTACAGCGGGAAAATTAGCCTGCACTGAATTTAGGTCGCCTGATCTCGAACGCAAGAGCCGCCGAAGAGTGCTCTTTTGTGAGAGCGGCGTTCAAGAAACGCAATAGAAGAAGAGTGCTCTTTTGTGAGAGCGGCGTTCAAGAAACGCAATAGAAGAAGAGTGCTCTTTTGTGAGAGCGGCGTTCAAGAAACGCAATTGCGCACGTCGACGTCGCGTACATCCCGCCAACGTAATGAGTGTGAGCGCTTCTTCTCTCTCGTTTAACTGGTGCTGTCTGATCTACGGAAGCGAATGTCTCCAGCCAGGCTCGAGATGATAATGTTTATGAACTACAATCGTGACTTGCGGAGTAATGCAAATAATTGAATTATTAATTTGCTCAGCTCACATCGACGTATTAATCTAAAGTATTGCTTTTTCGGGTTCCCTGCTCGTACCTCGTGTGTGGTGGCGGATTAGCCGCTGGGGCTCCTCTACTTGAGCTCTGGAATATGCAAACGCTCGACCGATAATCAGGCCGCTTTGAATGTATCTTCCGCACGCAGCCACCCAATCGCGACGTTGACGTCCAAGAGGGGCATACCCTGGTCAAATTGTGCTCCTTCGGGTGTTTCGATCAATAGAATAGCGTCCTGTAGATCGGGCGTGTACTCGGCTGAAGAAGCGTAGGCAGACAGAATCCGCCCCTTGGCCTGGCTTCATCTCATCTTGATAAATCTGTGTGAACCAGTTCGCCGTCTTGTCACTCTGTCGACGGTACCACCTTCCCAAAAGGAGTCGCCGACTGTACTGCGTTCAAAAAAGGAAGTAATTGTACAGCCTGTCTGGACCTTTGATAATTTCCGGATGTGATGATCCTGAATGCAAAAGAAGTATCACTTTATGCTAAAATCTTGTTTATTTGTAAATCCAATATAGTCGACCCCCGCGAAAACGGGGTGCAGTCCAGTATATAGCAACACCTCGGGAAACTCCCCGAAATGGACGACGGCGGCAGGCCCGTAAGAACTACAAAGCTGACACCTGGCGTACAATGCGAGATGGAGCGTCGTGATATCCAAAAAGCCACAAAAGATCTTCGGGTGCGCAGCAATGACGTCGAAGTCGAGATATTTCAGTATCTCGTGAGAGGTGAAGCCACCAATGGTACGGACCGTAACTTTTACTTCCGGATCCCGAAAGCCTGCATCAATTCGTCCGCACGTAGCTCAGTGTCGGCAGAGCTGTACGCACGGCATGCTGCCCGGTTGACATCATCGACTTTACAATCTTGGGACTGGGTGTTCTCTTGGGCTGTACGACACAGACTTTTTACGCCGAACCCGAGGTGCTACCCGAGCTTTAGCTACACAAGAGCTGCAAGACCTGATGCTGGTGCCACGAGTGCAGCGATATCGCCCTTGATGAGGGCCGGAGCACGAGACATTGGCGCAATTAGGAAGCACCTACTTGCTCATTGATTCAATCGAACGGAATTCTGAAACTTATGCCCGAACACTTTGATAAGTACTGGGTTGCCTGGGTTGCTCAAAATATAATTTACATGGATTTCTTCGTGTAATGAAATAAATGCCTGCATGGTAGATCGGAAATCTGCAAATAAATAATTTGTGCTGCAACTGTGGCAAATAAATATCTGCATCAAAACGTGATCGTGTTACTAGATTAATGGCTTTGGGGAAAACATGCTCCTCGAGTGCTGGGAAGGCATCAGGAAAGCGTCGGACATGGCGAAGGTTGCGAGAGTTGGTAGTTTGGGCTGTGTGCAAATTAAAAAGTGAGTTTGAGTCGGCGGCACAAGTTTGCAGACAGCTCAGAGCCAACGAAAATCTGGTGGCTGCCAAACAAGGACAATAAATTTCGTGTAGAATTCATAAAATCCAAAAACAAAATTAATTTGTGGCCAAACCATAAGAGGGATGTCCAAGTAAAAAAGTAATGACTTATTGGCTACACGACTTATCAGAGCGCTGAAAAAAGTTGTCTCCAAAAGTCGTCCCCATGTTCACTCGCCAGGAGACGACTTTTTGACTGACCTATCGAACGGCATGTCTTCAACATGCTCAAAGAGAGTTGGTTTCCTTTTTGAAAGCGTGCTCATCAGGAGCGCTCCTTGCCCTGTATGCCTCGCTCCCAGGACAGCGCAAGACAGTGTGGAGCTCTACCAGCACGCGATATGACACAGGACGGGAACATGTACGTGCCCCCTGTACGTGCTGCACGCTTGGTTCATAGAGCTGCTGTCACGGCACCTCCATCTTCGGCAGAGTTGCCACCTTACTACACGCAGTATGAAGAGGATCACTCAGAAGACGAAGACGCTTCAGAACAAGCTTCGACTTCTTCGCCTGCACAGGACCTGACACCAGAGAGAATGCCCAGACGCCCCAGCCGTAGGGTTGTTGAAGCTCATCAGGCCTCGATGGCTGCTATCACCAGCACTACCAGCACTGGCCAAGCTCCCAAAGCCAAGCGAAAACGGGTTTCCCGCCCAGTTACGAGCAAGGATAACGCAGAAGATGTCCCTTCAGATGGTAAAACACGCAAGACCAAGAAGCCAAAGAGCTCTGCTGCGTCTACGAAGCCGAAGCCGGTGAAGTCGTCCAAGGCGAAGCAAGCAAACACACAAAATGAAGCAGATGGTGTTCAAGAAGTGAAGAGCATGCACTGGACGATTCAGCTGACTGCTCTAGCAATTGAGGCTCGATTTAAAAACCCACGCATCTTGGCGAAGTTCGCGAAAAAAACTTCAGACACAAAAACAATTCAAGCGATATGGGAGGACACCATCAACGTTTTCCAGGAGCGTGCGCTGCAGGAACATGCTTGGGGGGATGACGGACCTCGCGGGGCTAGTGTAAAGCAGTTCAAGAACAAGCTGAACAACATTCGATCCGGTTACAAAAAGAAACGCACTCGTTTGCTGGGGAAAGGAAACAGAGTCCAGGAAAACAGCAGTGATGAAGAAGGCGACAGTGAGTCGCCCCAGCGCAAGTATCCTGAAATGCCTGTTGATTTTTTCGTCAGCTATTCCGACGAAAGCGACAGCAGCAACAGTGATATCTCCGTTTCTCACGCAAAGTTGGTTTGTGACCCTCTGAAAGTACAGGCGAAGTATCGCGCTGAGCTAGGTGTCGAATTGGCAGCGCTTTGGTCTCTTTTGTGTGATGCATTCTCGCGTCGCGTTGGAAGCACCGGAGAAGCAATCACGGAGTCAGGTCTAGCTGCAAACGTCACCGTAGCCAATACTCAGAGTGAAGGCGACGAAAACAAGGAGACGTCTGATTCCGAAGACTCCGACACACCAAGTGAAGCTCGCGCTAAAGCCAAGGAAAAAGCAAAGGCGAAAAAACGCCGCGACAATCAGCAAAAATATTCGACGGGTGTGAAGCGTCCCATTGATACTGTCAGCGATACCCTTCGTTCTGGCTTCGAGACAATTGAGAGAGTACTTTCGGTTCGCCATCAACCAGCGCCGAATAACTCGGAAAATGACCCAGCTTTTCAGCAAACTCACGGCGTCTATTGAGACTGCAAACGCCACACAGCAAGCCACAGCCGAAGCACTTCTTCAAAGCATTTCTGGTCTTCACCAGATTACCAAAAATCTCTACACGGAAATGACGAACGGAGGCAATCGTTCAAGCACGGAATAGCTGAATTTACGAGGACAGGAGTTGGCGGAGCGTCATTTATGCTCGTTATCGCGTTCGTAGAAACGGTCAGCGTACATGTTTCTCTTCCTAATCGCCAAGTCAACTTCACCTTGCGTTCTGTCCCAGTTCTGATTGTACGCTGTCATCACTTGCCTGGAATCATTTTTGGCTTGCTTCCGAGCTTCAATATCTCTCACACCTTTGAACTGCTTGTCGCCAATATCGATCAATATGTTGTGCAGCACCGCAGCAGAACATATCATCCTAGTGTTCGTCTCGTGTTTACGTCGATCCGTGACCCCGTGAAGCACCTTAAAACGTGCTTTCAGCTTTCCAAATACGCGCTCAACAATGATTCGTGTCTGAGAGAGATGATAATTGAAACTGCAAACATTTCAAGCACATCAAATAAAAAATAGCACAAACAAATTGAAGATCATACCTCCGCTGTCTTTTCGTGAGGCGCTTGCCACCGCGCTCGTCAAAAGGAACCATCAGGAATGGCCACAGCTTGAAGCCCGCATCACCCAGCCAATTCACTCCAGGAGGACAAATATCACGAGCCCGAGCACCAAGTACCACAGACTGATTCCACATTGACTGGTCGGAGTCGTTTTCAGTGGCAGTAACTCCTACTGCCACTGAAAACGCCAATGTACCGAAACTTGTAGCGGAAAGCAATCGCAGCCAAACAATTATAAGATGGCTTGCCGCTCTTGTCGTAAAAGCCCTGAAATAATTGAGGGAGCGATGATCACAATTTGGAGACAGCAAGAGATACCTAGCAATCTACCTGATGGTCGTTGGGTCTTCTAGTCCGTATTAGAGTGCCATCAAATACACATGCCACATCTGGAAAATCGGCATTTTCCCCAGCAAAGCCGTCCACCAACGCCCCCCACTCATCGTCTGCAGTAGGCGACGGAAAGTAAATCACGTCGTCCATCATACCGTATAAGAGTTTTTCCAGCCGCTTGATGTAGCGACTTGCAACTGGCCGAGACATCTTAAGCTGTGCTGCTGCACCTCCAATACCATCACCGTCTTGTCCACACCCGTTTCCGTAGTAGGTTAGTAAGACCGCAAGCCCCCAATCAAAAGAATAATGCAAGTTTTTTCCTGGTAGCCCGTACTTCCTGTAGTACAAAGGCTCCAAGAACGAACAAAGGGCATCAAATGATGCCGGCATGCAGCGGAGTGTTTTTCGGTAGGCCGAAGGGGACCTCTGCTCCTTCAGCTTCGCGTAAAAGTCCGATCTGACAGCAATTCGTTCGCTAGGAGGAGCGCGAAGTGATCTCCAGTCCAGTGTTCCAAACGTTGCCCCAAGCGTGATGAACAGCAAGAAGATCGATACAATCACATCGTCATCGACGTCTCCGTCTGCCTCCCCTGCACTCCCGTCGCCGGGAACACCCATCTCGACGTCTTCGCCACCAGCAAAACCGTGACGGTCATGTATCGCATATTGTGCCGCTCTAGCATTCACCGCAGCGTGTTGCACGTTGAGAAAGCCATCGTCGACATCCATGGGAGTCCCACCAGGCTCTGTAGGCTCCATTCGGTGGCCAGGAGGAGCGTGGGTGACGTAGTTCGAGGCGTTCTCCACCAGCTGCAACTTCTTGAAATCCAGCCCCCCTTGACATAAGTCGTCTCTCCTTCAGAAAAGTTGGTGACGGACTAACTTTTTTTCTTTGACTTATAAGCAAGGTGATCTGACAACGACTTTTCAAGACTGCCCTTTTTATGGAATAAGTTGGCGCAAATAAGTCATTACTTTTTTACTTGGACATCCCTCTAAGTAAATTATTTCTCTAACGAAAAAAATATATTTTCAGATAATATATTTCGCGGATCCCTGGTGGTTGCCCGTGCCGTTATCAGTACCGGCGAGTAGAATACTAGAGCCTGTGTTATTACAAAAAAGGACGGCAAGTCAATGAGCAATCTCGCCAGCATAGAACTGGTCATGCCGCGTACAGCTCGCGTCGTGAATTGTCCAGCTTTGAGCTGATCGATTTCCCCTCCTCTGAGCCTGGCTCAAATATACCTGCTCTCTCGTTTTAAGCTCTCCTTGATCAAGATGACAATAATTTTTCAGCAAGTATTCTTTCCTTCACGAACATGAGGTTATGTCGGACTGCGTGATCTCGATGAGTAGGATATGCCCTTCGTAAATAAAATCAATTTCTTAGAAATAATAACATTGAGACATTGCAGTGAAAGCTCAAGCTGAAGATGATCATACTCTATGACCCATACATGTAAGTTGTGGTGTAACGCCATCTGACTTGACCTTCTCTGTGCCAATGCTCCGCTTTCAATGCTCTCTACTCTCCCATTTGAGATGCGCCTTCGTTTTTCTCCAGATGTTGATGTTCACTTATCCAAAGGAAAGGAATACAGGGACTACTAAATATTTATAAATATATTTATAAGCTCAAAGCACACGCAAACCCCAAACGCAAAAAATATACACTGACACACTATTATAATCACACGCGGATACTCTTAATTTTCCAAAGAAAGCGAAAAAACGTGAATAACTTTTACTTCTGTAAATAACGATAGCCATGAATTTATTATTGAAAAAAGGCTGAAATTAAATGAAATTAATTAATTTAAAAAAAGAGCAACCATTTTTAAAAACGTATATTAGTGTTAATCACTTCTAATATAAAGCGCCACACGAACTACGTTATTGTCGCTTAAATTGCATATTCTTAAATCCATAGTATTGCTGTTACGATGCATAGTTTTTATCTGTATCACACACATCCTATTCTAGATAGAATACAAACCCCAGTACGAGTTTTATGTGGATAAAATTCATGTATTTTAGCACCATTGTTTTCAGTGGGGGTTATTGCAGCTCTAGCAAACGGATAACATGAGAACTTAGCATTTATGCGCTGAAAAGTTGACTTGATATAAGTAACTTAAAGAGAAGCACATTTTAATTTATACGTAGAACTTAGGACTGAGGCACTGTATTCGATTGAGTGATATTATTATCTTATTGCAATGGGTTGTTAGTAGTACTATGGAATGTATAGTATTGTAATTAATAAACAGGCAGATGTAGGACGGCTGTGGAAGCTTCTAGAAGCTTCCATCCGTCGAACTGCGGGGGCGGCACTTTTCTTTTGGCGCGCTCTCCCCCAAGCTCCCCTGACTTCGAAAAACTGGTAGCACTTGTTGGTCCCAGCAACCTGACAACAAAGAGCCCATGCCGACGAACGCGCAGCTTCAAGCCGAGATCGACCGGCTGAATCAAGCGATGGCGGAACGCACACGAGTGCCCAGCAACCTGCCTAAGTTCACCGGCAAGAGGGGGGGGGAAGACGTGCGCGAATAACTGTTCCAGGTCGAGAACGCCTGCCGCATTAACGGAATCGCAATCGACGACGCGAACCCACGAATACCAGGAATCGACGGGTCGGCGATGGCGAAACCGGCTTCGGGGTGGTTCCTGCACTGGGCTTCGACGACGCGAGTGGAAGAGCACACGTGGGGATTTTCCGTGAGCATGTGCTCCAACACTTCGAGGCGTCGAGCTACCAGTCAGTGCTACGAGATAAGCTCCAGCGTCTGAAGCAGACAGCGGATATCGAGACTTACAACGGTGAATACTTAGCTCTCATCTTTCGAGTCGAAGTCATGAGCGTGCTTGACCAAGTCCTGTTCTACGCAAACGGTCTCAAGCCTCGCACGCGAAGCTACGTGAAGCTCGAGAATCCGGAGACACTGAGTAACGCCATGGACTTAGCTGTCAAGTTTGAGGTGACTCACTTTGTGGAGGACGCTAGTGAGTGCAAGGTTCGTCATGAGAAGACGAAGACCTCTAATGAGCAACCTCAAGACAACAAGAAAACGTTCAAAGGAAACCCCCTTCCGAGGAAAGGGACGGTTTAAACCGAGCTCGAATTTGAAGAGCAAGGAGACTCGAACCTGCCATTTCTGCAACAAACCTGGCCACATCAAGGCCAACTGCTTTGCGTGGAAGAAGGAGCAAGGGAAGCAGAGAAACGAGAAGCTACGACAGTGAAAGAGGGTCCTGTCGTGGAGGAGAAAGTAACCGGAGCAGTTAAGTTTGAAATGTCAGCCTTAATGTTCTGTGTGAAAACCCTCTAGTCTACAAGTCACGTTTACTGTTCGCCGTCGGCGGTGATATCAGTGTGGCTGGCAAGATGAAGAAAACATCAAAGATGCTTCTAGACTGTGGTGCAACCACGATCTACGTGTCGAAGCGGTGGGTAGAAGAACACTAGCTGAAGACAACGAAGTTCAGCGACAAGAACATTCGAGTCAAGCTAGGATACAATCAGATTGTGGAGGCTCAGCTAGAGGTGCTACCTCTACGTATCCTTGTCGCCGGAATAGACGAGGCGTATGAATGCGTCGCAGTTGTCTACGCGATACCTGAAGAATTTGACTGCATCCTTGGAATACCTTTTTTCGAGGACATGCAACCACAAATCGACTGGAGACGTCGACGAAGCGAAGGAACAATAGAGAGAACTTTGCGCTGGGAACGAGCGGGTGGAACCTGTGGGCCAATCGAGGAAGGCGGACCGGTGATTTCCTCCGGGCTTCGGAGATCTGTCGGGGGGAAGGCCTGTCGGCGAAAAGACCCGATTCCTGTCGAGGTGCCGCGCTGAAACGGGTGTGAAGTCCGCGGTCAATCCCGTTCACGACTCTGAGCAGAGTGAGACCCCACGAGTTGCTTGCGTGCGACTGGAAGACGCGTCAGCTGGCAAGAGTTCAGCAGACGAAGACGAGAGGAAGTCGTCGAGACGCGACGGTACTGCTGCTGAGAGCAGCGATACCAGGGGAAGAGATTCCGTCGTGGAAAAGATGTTCACGATGGGAATTACAGATGAAGCTGGTATACAGACCAAGTACATCACGAGAAAGAAACTGCGAAAGTTCCTGAGAATCAAGACTAAGTCGATCGAAGAACCAGACTTCATGTTGGTTCTGACGAACGAACTGATCCAAAACGTCGCTCGATCCTTGGAGCGGCGAGAATAACCCGACAATGTCGGAACTGCAAAAGCTCAACGTTATCTGGAGACAGACTGGCAAAGTTTCCAGGCAAACCCTGCCTTTGACTTGCTGACGAAGTACAAGGACACGGTGTTCCGACCTGAACTCCCTGAAGGTCTTCCGGAGAAGCGTGAAATCGAGCACAGGATCGACGTGAAAGATCCCAACCTTGCGATGTTACGGCAACAGTGGCGACAGTCACCTGAGCAACAACGTGAGATCGTGCTCTGGGTTATAGACATGGCGAAGAAGAAACTTATCCGACCAAGCATCAATCCACACGCGGCGCCAGCCTTCTGCGTCCGGAAACCAGTTGGGTGGCGGATCGTTCACGATTATCGGTACTTGAACTCTAATACGATACGGCAGAGCATACCGATGACAAGGAAAGACGACATACTGGACGCCATGGCCGGAGGGTACTGGTTTTCAACGATGGACTTGATGTCCGCGTATTATCCAGCTCGTATGCGTGCCGATGATATCAAGCTCACAGCGTTCCAGGCGCCCAACGGGCTCTGGGAGTACCTGGTACTGCCAATGGGAGTTTGCAACGCGCCAGCGACGATACATCGATTGACGTCGAAGCTCTTTCGCGATCTGGAGAACACGAAGTCGTTCTACGATGACATCTACATCTTCACGAAGACACAGAAGATTGAAGATCACTTGGAGGCTCTCCGCAAAACATTGGACATCTTGCGAGACAACAAGTTATACGTGAAGCTGTCCAAGTGCGTCTTCTGTGCCGACGAGATTCCATGCCTTGGAGATTTTGTTGGGAGAAACGGCGTGCGGATGGATCCAGATAAGGTGCAGACCACCAAGGACTAGCCAATTCCAAGAACGCAAGAGGAGCTTCACAGCTTCCTCGGCTTAGCTGAATACGTCCAACGATTCGGACTACGCGAAGCTGACAGCAAGTATGTTTACTTTGCTCAAGAAAAAATCCAAGCGCAATGCGAAGATTCGTTTCGACGAAGAGCAGTCGAAGAACTTCAAGGAGCTGAAGAAACGGCTGTGCAATCCACCAGTGTTGCACTTGCCCGATTTCAATCAGCCTATGCAGTTGCGTACGGATACTAGCAAGTTTGCAGTCGGGGGAGTCCTGTTCCAGGTTGTCGATGGTGTTGAGCTACCCAT